GAGATCAGAGGGACACCTGAGAAACCCCAAAACGGGGCTTGGGGACACTCAGGGGTGACCCGAGATCAGAGGGACACCTGAGAAACCCCAAAACGGGGCTTGGGGACACTCAGGTGTGACCTGTGACAATTCCCAGTCCCTAACCCAACCCTGCTTCCCTCTAATGGGTTATTCTTGGTTATTCCATTTTTCCTAAGGATTTAGCTTAGCCTTGTGACAATTCCCTGTCCCTAACCCAACCCTGCTTCCCTCTAATTGATCATTCTGTTTTCAATGACAATTATTCTGTTTTTCCTGACGATTTACTCAACCCTATGAACATTCCCAGTTCCTAACCCAACCCTGCTTCCCTCAAATGCGTTATTCTCTATTATTCTGTTTTTCCTGACGATTTACTCAATGCTGTGAAAATTCCCTGTCCCTAACCCAACCCTGCTTCCCTCAGATTGATCATTCTGTTTTCAATGACAATTATTCCGTTTTTCCTGAGGATTTAGCTCAACCCTGTGACAATTCCCAGTCCCTAACCCAACCCTGCTTCCCTCTAATGGATTATTCTCGATTATTCCGTTTTTCCTGACGATTTACTCAATGCTGTGACAATTCCCAGTCCCTAACCCAACCCTGCTTCCCTCAAATTGATCATTCTGTTTTCAATGATGATTATTCCGTTTTTCCTTAGGACTTACTTCAACCCTGTGAAAATTCCCAGTCCCTAACCCAACCCTGCTTCCTTCAAATTGATTATTCTGTTTTCAATCACAATTATTCTGTTTTTCCTAAGGATTTAGCTCAGCCCTGTGACAATTCCCAGTCCGTAACCCAACCCTGCTTCCCTCTAATGGGTTATTCTCGATTATTCCATTTTTCCTGACGATTTACTCAATGCTGTGAAAATTCCCTGTCCCTAACCCAACCCTGCTTCCTTCAAATTGATTATTCTGTATTCAATGACAATTATTCTGTTTTTCCTAAGGATTTAGCTCAGCCTTGTGACAATTCCCAGTCCCTAACCCAACCCTGCTTCCCTCAAATGCGTTATTCTCGATTATTCCGTTTTTCCTGACGATTTACTCAATGCTGTGAAAATTCCCAGTCCCTAACCCAACCCTGCTTCCCTCAAATGGGTTATTCTTGGTTATTCCATTTTTTCTGACGATTTACTCAATGCTGTGACAATTCCCTGTCCCTAACCCAACCCTGCTTCCCTCTAATGGATTATTCTTGATTTTTCCGTTTTTCCTGAAGATTTACTCAATGCTGTGAAAATTCCCTGTCCCTAACCCAACCCTGCTTCCCTCAAATTGATTATTGTTTTCAATGACAATTATTCCATTTTTCCTAAAGATTTAGCTCAGCCTTGTGAAAATTCCCTGTCCCTAACCCAACCCTGCTTTTCTCAAATTGATCATTCTGTTTTCAATGGTGATTATACTGTTTTTCCTTAGGACTTACTTCAACCCTGTGAAAATTCCCAGTCCCTAACCCAACCCTGCTTCCCTCAAACGTGTTATTCTCAATTATTCTGTTTTTCCTGACGATTTACTCAATGCTGTGAAAATTCCCAGTCCCTAACCCAACCCTGCTTTTCTCAAAGATCATTCTGTTTTCAATTATGATTATTCCATTTTTCCTGAGGATTTACCTGGACCTGTGAAAATTCCCAGTCCCTAACCCAACCCTGCTTCCCTCTGATCAATTATTCTCTATTATTCCATTTTTCCTGACCATTTACTCAATCCTGTAAAAATTCCCAGTCCCTAATCCAACCCTCCTTTTCTCAAATGGATTATTCTGTTTTCAGTGACAATTATTCTGTTTTTCCTGACGATTTACTCAACCCTATGAACATTCCCAGTTCCTAACCCAGCCCTGTTTCCCTCAGATGGATTATTCGCAATTATTCCCTTTTTCCTGACGATTTACTCAATCCTGTGAAAATTCCCAGTCCCTAACCCAACCCTGTTTCCTTCAAATTGATTATTCTGCTTTCAATCACAATTATTCCATTTTTCCTAAGGATTTAGCTCAGACTTGTGACAATTCCCAGTCCCTAACCCAACCCTGCTTCCCTCAAATGCGTTATTCTCGATTATTCCATTTTTCCTGACGATTTACTCAATGCTGTGAAAATTCCCAGTCCCTAACCCAACCCTGCTTCCCTCTAATGGGTTATTCTTGGTTATTCCATTTTTCCTAAGGATTTAGCTTAGCCTTGTGAAAATTCCCAGTCCCTTACCCAACCCTGCTTCCTTCAAATTGATTATTCTGTTTTCAATGACAATTATTCCATTTTTCCTAAGGATTTAGCTCAGACTTGTGACAATTCCCTGTCCCTTACCCAACCATGCTTCCCTCTAATGCGTTATTTTCAATTATTCTGTTTTTCCTAACGATTTACTCAATGCTGTGAAAATTCCCAGTCTCTAACCCAGCCCTGTTTCCCTCAGATGGATTATTCGCAATTATTCCCTTTTTCCTGACGATTTACTCAACCCTATGAACATTCCCTGTCCCTAACCCAACCCTGCTTCCCTCAAATGCGTTATTCTCGATTATTCCGTTTTTCCTGACGATTTACTCAATGCTGTGACAATTCCCAGTCCCTAACCCAACCCTGCTTCCCTCACATTGATCGTTCTGTTTTCAGAGGTGATTTTTCCCTTTTCCCTGAGGACTGGGCTCACTGCCTGTGCCTTCCCTTGCAGCCCTGCCCAGCCACACGTGCGGGAACCCGGGCCGGCTGCGGAACGGGGTGCAGCAGGGCACCACCTTCAGCATCGGGGACAGGGTCAGGTACAGCTGCAACCCCGGCTTCTTCCTGGAGGGCCACGCCCTGCTCACCTGCCAGGCCAGCTCGGGACACGGAGCCTCCTGGGATTTCCCTCTGCCCGTCTGCAGAGGTGAGGAGAAACCCCCGGGAAACGGGGGCTGAGATGGCTGGGGTGGGGTGGAGGGGTTTGGTTTGAAAGGGTTAAAAAGCAGCCCTTCAAAATCAGCCCTTAAAACCGACCCGTGAAAATTAACCCTTAAAAAGCAACCCTTAAAAACCAACTCTTAAAAATTAACCCTTAAAAACCAACTCTTAACAAGCAACTCTTAAAAAGCAACCCTTCCAAATCAACCTTTAAAATTAGCCCTTACAAATTAACTGTTAAAAAGCAACCCTTAAAAACCAACTCTTAAAAAGCAACTCTTAAAAATTAACCCTTAAAAAGCAACCTTTATAAACCATCTCTTAAAAAGAAGTCCTTAAAAACCAAGCCTTAGAAACCAACCCTTGGAAATCAACCCGTGAAAATTAACCCTTAAAAAGCAACCCTTAAAAAGCAACCCTTAAAAACCATCTCTTAAAAAGAAATCCTTAAAAACCAAGCCTTAGAAATCAACTCTTCACAATCAACCCTTAAAATTAACCCTTAAAAAGCAACCCTTAAAAACTAACTCTTAAAAACTAACCCTTAAAAAGCAACTCTTAAAAAGAAACCCTTCAAAACTGACCTTAAAAAACAACCGTTAAAAACCAACCCTTTAAAAGCATTTCTTGAAAAGAAATCCCTAAAAACCAACTCTTAGAAATCAACCCTTAAAAACCAACCCTTAAAATGAACCCTTAAAATTAACCCTTAAAAAGCAACTCTTAAACAGCATCTCTTAAAAAGAAATCCTTAAAAACCAAGCCTTAGAAATCAACTCTTCAAAATCAACCCTTAAAAACTAACCCTTAAAATTAACCCTTAAAAAGCAACCCTTAAAATCAGCCCTTAAAAACTAACCCTTAAAAACTAACCCTTAAAATGAACCCTTAAAAACTAACCCTGAAAAAGCAACTCTTAAAAAGAAACCCTTCAAAACTGACCTTAAAAAAACAACCCTTAAAAACCAACTCCTAAAAACCAACCCCTTAAAAGCATTTCTTGAAAAGAAATCCTTAAAAGCTGACTCTTAGAAATCAACCCTTAAAAACTAACCCTTAAAAACTAACCCTTAAAATGAACCCTTAAAAACCAACCCTTAAACAGCGTCTCTTAAAAAGAAATCCTTAAAAACCAAGCTTTAGAAACCAACCCTTGGAAATCAACCCTTAAAAACTAACCCTTAAAATTAACCCTTAAAAAGCAACCCTTAAAATCAACCCTTAAAAAGCAACTCTTAAAAAGAAACCCTTCAAAACTGACCTTAAAAAACAACTGTTAAAATCCAACTCTTAAAAACCAACCCTTAAAAGCATTTCTTGAAAAGAAATCCCTAAAAACCAACCCTTGGCAATCAACCCTTAAAAACTAACCTTTAAAATGAACCCTTAAAAACCAATTCCTAAAAACCAACTCCTTAAAAGCATTTCTTAAAAAGAAATCCCTAAAAACCAACTCTTAGAAATCAGCCCTTAAAAACTAACCCTTAAAAAGCAACCCTTAAACAGCATCTCTTAAAAAGAAATCCTTAAAAACCAAGCCTTAGAAATCAACTCTTCAAAATCAACCCTTAAAAAACAACCCTTAAAAAGCAACTCTTAAAAAACAACCCTTAAAAAGCATTTCTTAAAAAGAAATCCTTATAAACCAACCCTTAAAAATCAACCCTTAAAATTAACCCTTAAAAAGCCATGGTTGAAAACCAGCTCTTTAAAACTAACCCTTAAAAAGCATCTCTTTTAAAGAAATCCTTAAAAACCAACCCTTAGTAATCAACCCTTAAAAACCAACCTTAAAATGCATTTCTTAAAAAGAAACCCTTCAAAACCAAGCCTTAGAAATCAACTCTTCAAAATCAACCCTTAAAAACTAACCCTTAAAATTAACCCTTAAAAAGCAACCCTTAAAAAACAACCCTTAAAAAGCATTTCTTAAAAAGAAATCCTTAAAAACCGACTCTTAGAAATCAACCCTTAAAAACTAACCCTTAAAAAGCAATCCTTAAACAGCATCTCTTAAAAAGAAATCCTTAAAAACCAAGCCTTAGAAATCAACTCTTCAAAATCAGCCCTTAAAAACTAATCCTTAAAATTAACCCTTAAAATGAACCCTTAAAAACTAACCCTTAAAAAGCAACTCTTCAAAATCAACCCTTCAAAACTAACCTTAGAAAGCAACCCTTAAAAAGCAACTCTTAGAAATCAACCCTTAAAAACCAAACCTTCAAAATCAACCCTTCAAAATCAACCCATACAAAACCAATCCTCAAAACCCAGCCCCTAAAAACCAGCCCTTAAAAAGCAACTCTTAAAAACCAATCCTGAAAACCCAACCCTTAAAAACCAACTCTTAAAAAGAAACCCTTAAAAACCAATCCTGAAAACCCAACCCTTCAAAACCAAATGTGGTGGCTTTAGTTGAAACCAGAAAAAATGTTAGAAATCATAACCCAGCCCCTACCCAACAACTGATAAAATAACCTAAAAAAACCCCAAAAAAGAGCTCAGCCCCACAGCAAAACTGCTCTGCCCAGCCCAACCAAAAAAACCCCAAATTATGTTACCTTTTACCCAACCAGAAGAAAAAAAAGAAGTTCCCAAGTATCTTTCATCTTTAACACATATTTTTTCACAAAAGTAGATACAACTTTCTAGTAACTAAAAGCTTTGCATCACTTCCATAAATATCTCCCATACAAAACCAAAGCCGCCAACCCTTAAAAAGCAACTCTTAAAAAGCAGCTCCTAAAAATCAACCCTTAAAAACCAGCCCTTAAAAACCAGCCCTTAAAAACCAGCCCTAAATGGGAAAGCAAACCTGGTGTGGTTGATGGGTTTTGGGTTGTGGTTGTTGGGTTTTGGGTTGTGGTTGTTGGGTTTTGGGTTGTGGTTGATGGGTTTTGGGTTGTGGTTGATGGGTTTTTGACGGGTTCCTCAAGGCTGTTGGGTTTTGGGGGAATAATGGGAAGGTTCTGAAGGGTTTGGGGTGTTGGGAATGGGGCACAGCTGCTTTAGCTGCAGTTTCTTAGTCCCTGGACAATTCAATTAAATTTAAAAAATAAAATTAAGTGGGGAAAAACCCCAACTTTACAGGTGGCAGGACAAAGGGGGATGGCTTTAAACTGAAAGAGAGTGGGTTTAGATGAAATATTAGAAGGAAATTCCTCCCTCTGAGGAATTGGGATTGATTTCCTGGAGAAGCTGTGGTTGCTCCATCCCTGGAAATGTCCAAGGCCAGGTTGGAGCAACCTGGGATTGTGGAAAATGTCCCTGCCCATGGAATGGGGTGAAAGGAGATGACCCTGAAGCTCCAAACCAACCATGATCCCATGATTATCCCGAAAATCAAGCCTGCAGGTTTTCCAGCTCAAACCCTGGAAATGGGACTGGATTTTCTGCTTCCCAGAGCCAGATTCCCTCTCCTGTGGCACATCCCAGAGTGGCTGCAGTGCTGTGCTGCAGGAAAGGTGGATCTGTGCAGGGCGGGGATGTTCCCTGCCTTGGGGGAGGCAAAACAGTTTATACTGAACAATTTATACAGAAAAAATAAATACACTGAAAATTTATACTGAAAATATTATACTGGAAAAATGTATACCGAAAAAATGTATACTGAAAAAATTTATACTGAAAAAATGTATACTGAAAAATGTATACTGAAAAAATGCATACTGAAAAAATGCATACTGAAAAATGTATACTGAAAAAAATTATACCGAAAAAATTTATACTGAAAATTTATACTGAAAAATGTATACTGAAAAATGTATACTGAAAATTTATGCTGAAAAACGTATACTGAAAAAATGTATATTGAAAAAATTTATACTGAAAATTTATACTGAAAAATGTATACTGAAAAAATGTATACTGAAAAAATGTATACTGAAAAATGTATACTGAAAAAATGTATACTGAAAATATGTATACTGAAATAATTTATACTAAAAAAATGTATACTGAAAAAATTTATACTGAAAATTTATACTGAAAAATGTATACTGAAAAATGTATACTGAAAATTTATACCGAAAAATGTATACTGAAAAAATTCATACTGAAAAAATTTATACTGAAAAAAATTTATACTGAAAAAATTTATACTGAAAAAATGTATACTGAAAAAATTTATACTGAAAAAATGTATACTGAAAAATGTATACTGAAAAATGTATACTGAAAAAATTTATACTGAAAAAATTTATACTGAAAAAATGTATACTGAAAA